GCCAGTTCGCACCACTTTTGGGAGAACTGGTTGTTAACTTTCTGAGCTGTTTGGTGGACTGGTTGTTGGAAGAAATCATTAGGGCAGAGAACTGGTTGTTAAATTACTTGAATCCCACCACTGTCCATCACTGGAGGTTTTTAAGAACAGATCGGACAGCCATTTGTCTGAAATGGTATAGGGTCTCCTGCTTAGGCAGGGGGTTGGATTATAAAACTTCCAAGGTCTCTTTCAACTCTTTTATTCTGTTATCTCTTAAGAGATCGTAAGATCTCTTCCAGAACTTTAAAAATAACTTTTAACAAACCCACCCTGTTGAGAGGCTTCTTCCTTTCACTAGCACTTCCTGAAGTGACTGCGTAACTTTGCATTACATGGTCATTCCAGGAAATGTAGAGAAGAGGCCTGTTGTCTGCAAAGAAGAAAATACCGCTGTAAAAATTCTAAACTTTCTAAACGTTAAATAGAAGTTACTCTTTGGACATCATTTACATGTGTTTCATGTTAGCACTCTTCCATCTGTAGATCAAGCAGTAGGAAAACAGAATGGCAGAATGGTTTTTAATTTTAAGCACCAGGAAATGTAGACCTGATATTATCTTCCTAAACCCCTTTTTTCTTCTTCTGTAGAACAGCTAGTTAGGATACTGTAGTACAGCAGAGTCTGGTTTTTTTTCTTCTCCAGTGGCTGTGATGTTGGTTCAAGAAAGAGAAGGAACCAAAATGTCCTTAAACAGAAAAAGAACCAATAAACACTTTTCATAATCTGGTTTATGAGTTGCCTGTGTTCCATATCACAAAATAGAAAATCAGTTCAACTTACAAATGTTTCAGTATAAAGATCTTCCAGCAATCCAATGCTCTGTAATTTTATAATGGGCAATAAAATGGTAATAATGGAAATGAATGAAGTTCAATGAGTTCAGAACCTCTTTTTATGTTATTTATTTGATTTTTATCTCACTGTAATCTCATGAGTCTCGGGCGGCTAGGGTATCACAGTAAAAACAACAGAATTAAAACAACACATAATCCAAATGGCAAAAATAAAAGTGAAGTAGGAGAGCAAGATAATAAGAACAACTCCAAGAGCAGTAATGCTGCGGAAAGTTTCTTTTTTAAAAGCTCCGTTTTTTAATAACTTCTTAAATGCTACCAGGAGGAAGCCAATCTGAACTCAGCGGGGAGGTCTGTTCTATAGCATTGGTGCTGCTTCTTCATAGCAGCATCTTTTAGCTTTGGCCCTGTTGGCATCACAAAAAAATGTGGGACACAGGGAGCTATTCTCTCATGCAAATGTTACAGGGCGATATCATCCACCACATTGTCAAGTAAGATGACACAATCTTCTGCGCCTCTTATGATCATCCTACCTTCTAAGTATTTATGTATGAGTATTTTATATAAGCGATGCTTCAGCAGGGTCCGCAGTATTGTCTGGGATACTACACATCCTCTTCATGATCTGTTTTCCTTCTTACCGTTGTTGGAAGAAATATCCTTCTGGGTCAGTGGTGGGTTGCCCCCGGTTCAGACCGGTTCACAAGAACCGGTAGTAAAACCGGTGGGAGGCTCCGCCCACCAACCCCGACATCATCAGGAAGCTTCTGTGCGTAGCCCCATTGCGAACTGATAGTAAAGGTAAGTAGAACCCACCCCTGTTCTGGGTTCAGTTCCCCCCCTCCCCAGCCATGGTGCAGGAGGCCAACTAGGCCACGCTCACCATGGCCACGACCCGCCCCCCAGCAACCAGGCAGAGAACCCCTTGCTAAAATTTTTGAAGCCTACCCCTGCATCTATTTACAATGGCTGTAGTGTCCCTGAATTATATGATTTCCAACTTTCCCGCCTGCCTTCTGACAAGCAAAGCCAAAGGGTGACAACGGATTCACTGAACAACTGTATGGTTATGTTAACCACTGCAGCTTAACAAATGTTGGCAAAAACAGGCCTTATTTAGAACAACCAAAGTTCTGGCCCCAATTGTGGTTGCAAGTCGAGAACTACTCGTATTGCAGATTAATTTCTGTTCGGAGTATAGAACAATGGCAGCGGCTGACACCAGCCAGCATTCCGGATGTTCCTTACAATAAAAATACAGGCAGTACGCTGCAAAAGCCATGTCTCTGCCTTCTCACAGCTGTGCTAGGGGAAGATGGACAGGTAATTTCCTGTCTCCTGTTCCCAAGCAAAGCATTCAAAGATGTTTATGAAAGTATACGTTGGGAGGGGGGCAGTGAAAAGGCTTTCTGATGAAGACAGATTGGATTTGAAAGGGAGGGGGGAATCAGACTCTTGTGGAGGAAGTCGAATATGTACCTCCATAATAAGCCTGTCAAAGAAAAATAAAATCAAATAAAAAGGACAGAGTACATAAAGAAACAAGCCTGCAGCTCTGATACTCAGCATCTTAGAGCGATGGTTGGGCTATGATTGTGGTTTCCTTCGGTACCTAAGCTTGTACACTTGCAACCTTGCTTATGCGGACACATGGAGTGGAGCAGGGGTGAAATGCTCCCGGTTTGGACCGGATCGCCTGATCCGGTAGCGATGGAGGCGGGTGGTTCGGAGAACCGGTAGCAAAAATCCCTGCCCCACCCCCCCATGCCCAGCTGAGCCACACGATCATCAGAGGCTTTTTTTCTTTTAAAAGCCTCTGCCGATCAGGCAACTCAGCTTGGATCGTCAGAGGCATTTTTTTTTTTAAATGCCTCTGCTGATCAGGCAACTCAGCTGGGATCGTCAGAGCCAAGAGGTTGTAGAAAAAATGGTTTTAAAAGTAAAAAAAAAAATTGGCCACGCCCACCCAGTCACATTACCCACCACCACAAAGCCACACACACCCAGTAACAAATTTTAGTTTTCACCACTGGAGTGGAGCCATTGATAGGCTAGCAAATTCCATTAATTATGAGAATATTTACAATTCGCCACCCTTTGCTCTTCGCATGGTATCCTCTGAGGAACAGAGTTCATCTCTAATAGCCCTAATAGCCCATTATTTCTTCAACTCCTTCTTCGTGGCTCATCTCTTCCCTGGTGACCTATCTGAACTCTTAGCCCTGGGATGGTGAGCCTATGGCATGCGTGCCCAAAGTGCCTCACGGAGCCACGTTGCCTGGCACGCGTGGCATTGCCCATTCCTCTTCCGGGTTTCTGATGTGCATGTGCGTGTGATGATCAGCTGACCTTCGTGTGTGCAGCAGTGCTGAAAACTGGAAAACTTCTGTTTTCCTGCGTGATCATGCTGTCTAGCTGATCGTCACGCACGCGTGTGCACCAGAAACCCAAAAGACTAGCTGACCAGAGCACATGCACACACCAGAAACCGGAAGTTCATTTTCGGGTGCACGCATGTGCCCTGGGCAGCTCCTCTTCCAAATTGCGACCCAGATGAGCACACACCCACGCTCCCTTTTTGGCACTCGGTGTCAAAAAGGTTCACCATCCCTGCGTTAGCCCAGGGATGAAATCCAGCAGGTTCTGACAGGAAATTTTGAGTAGTTCGGAGAACCGGTAGCGGAAATTTTGAGTAGTTCAGAGAACTGGCAAATGCCACCTCTGGCTGGTTCCAGAGTGAGGTGGGAATGGAGATTTTGCAATATCCTTCCCCCAGGAGTGGGGAGGGAATGGGGATTTTGCAGTATCCTTCCCCTGGAGTGGGGTGGGAATGGAGATTTTGTAGCATCCTTCCCCTGCCATAGCCACTAAGCCACGCCCACCAAGCCACACCATGCCCACCAAGCCACGCTCACAGAACCAGTAGTAAAAGAAATTGGATTTCACCACTGCCTTAGCCCTACCTATAATGCTATTCTGTGAGTCAGCAGGACATCCTCTGCAATTATAGGATGGGAAGAGACTGAAAGTTTTCTAGGCAATCTTTGTCTAGCTCAGGATTCCTCAGAACATCCCAGACCAAAAAAAAAAATATGCTTTTTTTCCCTTGAAAACCTCCAGTGATAGACCACCTCCAGCTCAAAAAACAGGCTATTCTACAGCATAATGGCCCTCATGGTCAGGAGATTCTTCTTTTATTTATTATTTATTTATTAATTAAATTTTTATACCGCCCTTCTCCAAGTAGGACTCAGGGCGGTGCACAGCCTAAGTAAAAACAGAGCATACAAAATTTAAAAACAGTATTAAAATAATTAAATATTTTGGCCGTAAATTAAAACAACCCAATTTAAAATCAATTTAAAATTTAGCTCAAGCCAGCCCAGCTAGTTGAAATAAATAGGTTTTCAGGGCCCGATGAAAAATCCGGAGGTCTGTTATTATACGTAGCTCTGGGGGAAGGTTGTTCCAGAGGGTGGGCGCCGTCACAGAGAAGGCTCTCCCCCTGGGGGTCGCCAGCCGACATTGTCTGGCGGACGGCACCCTGAGGAGGCCCACTCTGTGCGAGCGTACTGGCCGGTGGGAGGCTATTGGTGGCAGAAGGCGGTCTCGTAAGTACCCCGGCCCTAAGCCATGGAGCGCTTTAAAGGTGGTTGTAAAGCTTCTGTAAAGCTTCTACCCATTGATTCCTGTCCTACCTTTGGGAGTTATGGAGAAAACATCCACATCTTCTTCCCAGTGATAACCCTTTAAATATTTGAAGACCGCTATAATGCAGGCTAATCAGTCTAATCAGCAGCTTACTTTGACACTTTTTAAAGTGGGAAATGCATGGCTCTGTCGTGTGATTGCGGGGGGGGGGAAGCTACCTCAGATTATTTTAAACTAAAAACCCTACATTTTTTATATAAAATTTATTGTCATTGTACGTATATACACAGTATACCCATACAACGAAATTCACAACACTCAGAGACTAAGCCCAACAAACATGACAATCCCCAGACACACCCACACCTACCAAAAATTCCCCACCCCTAAACCACCCAAACATCCACACCACAGACCAAGTAATGCTGTCCAATAGCTCACTGATGGTGGCCCTTTAGTTCATTGTTGAGTGCAATTATAGCTCTGGGATAAAAACTATTCAGAAGACGTGTGGTCCGAGTTTTAATTGTTCTGTATCTTCTGCCAGGAGGCAACAGTCCAAAAAGATTGTAAGCAGGATGGGAAGAGTCTCTGAGAATGTTGTGCAACTTCCTCAAACAGCAAGATGCGAAGATGTCATCCAGATGTCATACATTCCAAGCTCTAAAAAAAATATTGGAAAGAAACCTAGGAAAGAGAAAGAGAAAGAAAATCTTTTTTAAATAAATATTTTTATTAAACAGTTTTTTTAAAAAAACAAAAACAAAAAGAGATATTAACACTTCCTTCTTTTCAACAGTTTCGCGTCGGTAACCATACTTATACATTTTCTCTCTCTTATCTTAATATATCTTTTATACATATATTTCTAATATACCATATATATACCATTATAATGTATTATAATGAAAGAAAATCTTAATGTGATGCAAGCCAACTGGTTTTGCATCATATTCCCATCCACTGTGACCCTCCATTTCAGTCATATTGTACTGTAGCTACAGAGAAAAACCTACAGACAGAATTCATTTCTATCTTAATTTATCTTTGAATTCATTTCTGTCTTATTTTTTTTATCAATCCTTAACCTGTCAAACGTAATCTTGTAAATGTTTTGTGTTTCCTGTTCTTTTTCTTTCTGTCTTCTCTTTCAAAGACAGCTCAAAATCTCCATGTTGTTGTTTTTCTTTGCTGTTTAATACTTACCCTCAATCAGGGGTAGTATTCGCTTACTTTCCCTACCAGTTTGCAAATGTGAATGCATGCGCCACATCAGTGCATGCACCCGGCATTCCACACATGTGCTTGGCTGGCACGCGCACATTCACGCAAGTGCCTAGCCTCAAAAATGTGCTTAAATAGGATGGCATAGAACTGGGACAGGCTCCAGTGGTGGGCTGCCCCCGGTTCGGACCAGTTCACAAGAACCAGTAGTAAAACCGGCGAGAGGCTCCGCCTACTGACCCGGACATCATTAGGAAGTTTCTACACATGCTCAGAAGTGCACGAGAGAGAGAACAAAGCGAGCGAGTGCGCATGGTCACATCGTGGGCCCACTCACAATTTCCGCTACTGGTTTGGGTGAACCACTCCGAACCGGCTGAATACCCCCTCGGCCCTAAATGCTGTTTTAGGGTTCATTGTTTGCAAATTTGTCACAGTTTTTTCTAAACATTTTTGTTTACCTGGTTCCTTTTTTAAACTTTATAATGCGTGCATTTCCTAATGGATTTACCTTTAGCAATGTAGGTGACTAGTAATTTGAAGTATACATTATGATTTTTGGAAACTGATGACTTTTTTTAACTTGATGCTTGTCCAGCTGTATTGGAGTATCAGAATGCAAAATTTCCAGTCTCATGCTGACTGGTGATTCTGGAGCATATTTAAAAACTATCCATTTGTAAAAGGCTGGAAAACTCTCTTTTCAGAACTCAGGATTATCTAGTGAAATTGACTGATGATAATGAACTTGTCTGACAATTGCTTCAGACAGCATGACATTGAATCTTACTGCTGCACTCAAACTGCCAATAGAAAATTAGCATACCATAGTTTACATTTTGTAAACTTCCAAAGTAATCATGTTAGCTACTGAGAAGTAAAGCTGGATCACAGTTTCAAAGCTGCTTTGGAGTGATCAAATTGGGGCATTCTTCTGTAAAGCCTAGCAAGATTCTGGTGGCTCAATGAACTTCATCTTTAGATGTTGCTTTAGGAAATCTGGATTTCTTCCATGAGCAAAATATCTGAGCAATTTCAAGTAATGCACATTCTGACATAAGGTTCATCTTGGCTGAAGGTCATTGACTCGCCCCAAAATTTGATAGCCTTATAATGGAAGGAGAAAATTCCTCCTATGAGAAGACAGGTTGCCTGCGAAATGATTGTTGTGGCCTGCCAGCGGCCAGCTGATTCGGACAGTGAGGAGGTTGGAGAGGAACGTGGGCCAGTCCTGGAGTCTGACGATGACTCTGAGTTGGAGGCAGAGAGAGAGCCAATCTAGTAGTTCATTGCTGCCTCCGGAGTCTCCAGAGTCTGACATCAGTGAGTTAGAAGAACAGCGTGAACCTGTTCATTTTCATTTTCATTTCATTTATTCGAATTTCTATACCGCCCTTCTCCTTTCGGACTCAGGGCGGTGAACAGCCAGATAAAAAACATCTATACAATACTATACACTGAGTTCCCAGTGTGAGCATGCACAGAGCTGCCAGGAGATAAGAACAATTAAGGAAACAGGCTCGACTTGGGAGTAAGGCTTGGAGATGATTGGCCCCTCCCATAAGACATAAAAGAGAAGTGAATGGAACGTAAGCTTTTACAGGAAGCAATTAGTTCATCTGGCCGATTCAAGATTTGAAACTTCTGTTTGTGACTCTGTGCCAAGTTTGGCCTTGCCCTGCGTCTGGAAATTAGCTCTTTGGCAGCGTTCCACATGAGATAGGTGGGTGTTGATAACCTTCCTCTGAAAGACTGTTTATCAAGCCTTGCGGACTGTAAATGAAATAAATTAAAGTGGTTTGCCAGGACTAAGTTTGTGTTGTTTAATTTCTAAGGAAGCCTATGTCAGAACAATGATCAGCACTTGGGCTGCTGGTGCCTTGTCCCTTTAAGACCTCTATCCAGTCAGCCAGCAACTGTTGCCTATAAAAACTGAGCATCTGTGCGAGGGGAACCTTTACCTTTAACTTGGGTAAATATAAGCGAACCAGTGACATCTCATATTCCTAATTAAACACGTTCGCCTTCCCTTTTCATTCTATCTTCTGTTTCAGATTTGTCCACAGTGCTTAACCGCTTCTCTGCCTCCTTAGCCGTTAGATTTTCAAATATTTGGATTTGTTTACCAGCTTATTCTTCTTGCTTATGTAAGGGAGCATTTAGCTCTATGGACATCGCATTGATGAAAGCATCAATATGTTTAAAAGCGTCAATGTGTTTAAAATGATGAGATACTAAAAATCACAAGATTTAGATAACTGTTAGCTGCTATCGAATTGAGCCCTGAAAGATTAGAAGACATTTTCTTTTAATTACTTTCTCACAGCATTCAGAGAAACAAACAATCAAAAAAATAACAGCAAAAGGAGGAAAAATAACAGACAGGCTTGTGGGGGGTTTCTTTCTTTCTCCCCTCCCCTTTTTTCCTGCTGAACCTCTCCATTCTCATATATTGAGTCAGGTCTGGTAAAGACGGGGGGGGGAAACCGAAGTGAAGAGCATTTGGAAGCAACTGTAAGCATATTTGTGAACAACTGTCATTTGACATTTTTGTTGGCAATGACAAAATATGTAAATCACCCCAATCACATGCAAATAATATGCCGCCTCCTTGCTCGATGATATTTTCCCTGCTGGCCTTGTCTTCTGTTTCAGTTGCCCATATCTGTTTGAGGTTTTAATTCTAGGCCTGTCAAACAATGAAAATAATAATACATTTGGGCTGATGAACCATTTGTCTTTTTAACACATGTAATAGATTAATCAAAATTGAACTGAATATAAATACAGCCTAAATCAGGCCATGGATCGCCTTCAGCATTCTTGTTCTTTTTTTTTTTTTAAAGGAGTTAACTCCTAGCCTGATAAACAAAACAGTGAAAAGAAAGTATCACTGTTTATCCTTTTAACTGTTCTTTGCAGATGTGTGCATTTATTTTTTTATTTTTTATATCAATTATACTTCATTAAATTTATTTATACATACAGTACATACACACACACGCACATACATATACAAAAAACCCAAAAGAAAAATAGGGAGGGAAATATTTTCAAAGGAGAAAATGAAAATAAACAGAAGTAACTTCCAATCCTTAGGTGTAGGGTTTCCTGCCTAAGTAGGGGGTTGGACTAGAAGACCTCCAAGGTCCCTTCCAACTGTTATTCTATTCTATTCTATTCTATTCTATTCTATTCTATTCTATTCTAATTCTATTCTATTCTATTCTATTCTATTCCTGATTTATATTGATTGTTTCCTCATATGATTTGATTGCTTATTTGTTCCCTATGCCTATCATTAAGTGTTGTACCTTACGATTCTTGATGAATGTATCTTTTCTTTTATGTACACTGAGAGCGTATGCACCAAGACAAATTCCTTGTGTGTCCAATCACACTTGGCCAATAAAGAATTCTATTCTATTCTATTCTATTCTATTCTATTCTATTCTATTCTATTCTATTCTATTCTATTCTATTCTATTCTATTCTATTCTATTCTATTCTACTCTACTCTACTCTATTCTATTCCCGATTTATATTGATGTTTCCTCATATGATTTGATTGCTTATTTGTTCCCTATGACTATCATTAAGTGTTGTACCTTACGATTCTTGATGAATGTATCTTTTCTTTTATGTACACTGAGAGCAAATGCACCAAGACAAATTCCTTGTGTGTCCAATCACACTTGGCCAATAAAGAATTCTATTCTATTCTATTCAGTGGTATTATCTTTATACTGGATGTTTACCCGAAGTTCACTTGATAAAGTGATGAAAACAGGGGTTACAAATACATTATAGCCTGCTGATATATTTCATTTTGAGGGGATAGTATATAAACAGTAGCTGTTTCCAAATACTGTGTGAGCTGAACTTTTGATCACTGAAGAAGCCAACCAACATATTTACTTAGTCATTTATTTTATTTAAAACATTTATGTAGCTGCCATATCCCAAAATCATTCTTGCCTAGAAAATCAATCACACTCATTCTTGCCTAGAAAAGTTCCATGGAATTGTCATCTAATTATCTAATGTAACTCAAAGGAAACTTTACACTTTATGAAAACCTGCTGGGAAGTGGAAGCGCCCCTATTTTCTCTAATTTTTCCCCATGGTTCAAGAAACCATGCAAGCACTTACTTGCTTTAGATGTTGCTTTCCACAAAATGGGACAATTCAGCTCCGTTGAAAGAAGAGGACTGAAACAAAGGAGAGGAAAGGAGCTGATTAGTGGCTGATTTGAACACTCTGTCTGCAGTATATTGAGCAGAAGTGTCAAAGGGCACGGCTTTGATCCGGCCATCTGCTTAGCTCTTCCAGAAATGAAATTTTATTTCTGTTCTGCCTTGGCACAACAAATTAAGGAACGTAGAACATAGGATAACAGAGTTGGAAGGGACTTTGGAGGTCTTTAAGTCCATCGCCATGTCCATGCAGGAGACCCTATACTATTCCAGACAAGTGGATGTCCAATCTCTTTTTAAAGGTAAAGGTTCCCCTTGCACATATGTGCTAGTCGTTCCCAACTCTAGGAGGCAGTGCTCATCTCCGTTTCAAAGCGGAAGAGCCAGTGCTGTCTGAAGACATCTCCGTGGTCATGTGACCATGACTAAATGCCAAAGGCATACAGAAAGCTGTTACCTTCCCACCAAAGGTGGTCCCTATTTTTCTACTTGCATTTATTATGTGCTTTTGAACTGCTAGTTGACAGAAGCTGAGACAAGTAACGGGAGCTCACCCCGTTACGTAGCACTAGGGATTTGAACCGCTGAACTGCCAACCTTTCAATCGACAAGCTGAGCGTCTTAGCCTCTGAGCCACCACATCTCCATAATCTCTTCTTAAAAGCCTCCAATGTTGGAGCACCCACAACTTCTGAAGGCAAATCATTCTACTGGTTAATTGTTCTCACCTTTAGGAAATTTCTCCTTAGTTCTGGGTCACTTCTCTCCTTGGTTAGTTTCTATCCATTGTTCAATGGAAACTAACCAAGGGGGGCCAACCTAACTTGCTTAGCCGTATCAGTTGTGTAGAAGGAGCTGTATTTGTCTACAAAATTCCTTTTAGATTCTGGATTGAAAAAGCATATCCTTTTGAAGGTCAGCATCATTGAATTTTACCAGTCTGGATATTCTGAATTCTAACAAATGTACTATGTACTAGAGACAAAATGGGAGATTCCTAAATTGAAATAACAACAACACCTTTCTGAATCACCTTCAGCGTTCTAAGAAGACGCTTGGCTCTATGACTTGTCTTTTTTACTTACCATGATAATGGAAAATGGTCAAAAGTGTTCCTCATTATTTCACATCACCAAGGAAAATGAAGACACAATAGAAATTCAGGACATTCATTCTTGGGTTATTATATTCAAATTGATTCAGTGTTTTGTTTTGCTCTCTTGGGAGGTGAGGGTGAAGAAGGAAAGTCCATTGTTTTCTCAGAATGAGGAACACTACCATTATTACCTGGAGCTAAACTGAGCACCAAATGAGCCTTGGTACTACAGTGGTTTAAAGCACCCTGTTATTAACACAGCTGCCTGCAATTTACTGCTGGTTCGAATCTCTCCAAGGCTCAAGGTTGACTCAGCCTTCCATCCTTTCTAAGGTAGGTTAAATGAGGACCCAGTTTGTGGGGGCAATAAGCTGACTTTGTATAAATATACAAAAGTATGAAGGCTATTCCTTAACGCACTGTAAGCCGCCCTGAGTCTCCGGAGAAGGGCGGCATATAAATCAAATTAAAAAAAACAAACAAAAAAACTAAATTTTAATATAATTCAGTCTTAAATTGTTTTACCTTGTCAGATATACTTTACATTTCAAATCACACACGAGTTAAGATTAATCGTTTTAGTGTTTGAAGCTAGATTTGAACAAGAAGAAATTTGGATTCATTTTATCCAGTACATTAAGTTTGCCTATAATTTCAGTCTTCAGCAACTAGACGTGAGATAAGATATTTTGCTTTATCATGAGACAGGTTGACAATAGATATATATTTTTCCCCATGACTTTGTTCTAATCACTTGGCAAAAAGCATGCCTAATTTGATTATAGAGAGCTTTAGCTCAATCTTAAATTTTATTTTTCCTCACAGTGGAAGGAACACACCCTTTAGTAAATAATAGGAGAAAATTTTAGCGCTTCTAGGCTTTTTCAGCTTCTAAGCAATTGATTTCAAATCAGCAGCTCTACTTAAAATGTTTATTCACCTATAAAGATATTATGGATGTAAACATTGTGTATTAGGTCCATTTTCTTCCATTGACCTATCCCTTTTAAGACATCTTCTCTGCTTCCCTGCCTCACTGTTTTTCACACCATCTTTTCCAGGCTACTTTCTGCAGCAGGGAAAATAAATAAATATACATAACTTAGGTACATGTCAACATTTGACGCTTCTGCTTCTTTCTTTAAAATGGGACCTTTAAATAAGAACTCCTTGCGTTCAGCGGGAAAAGGTGTTGGCGGCTCTGCCATTTAACACAGGCCATCAAATCCCACTAAAGCTTTAAGGGTGAGATTCTTCCCTGAGGAAGCTATGGGTAAATAATACAAAGCCAGCTTCATATGAGTGAACTTGGATAGCACCAAAGCAGTGTCTACTTGTTTGAAAGGAGGAGCAAACCATCCCAAAAAACAGAGCTGCTGATCCTGATTTATTTATTTATTTATTTATTTATTTATTTATTTATTTATTTATTTTTATGGGCCCATGACCTTTGTGTGTGTCCATCCCTATGGAGAATACACATCAAAAGGACATATTTTTTTAAAGCTGCAAGACTCTCGTTTGGACATCTGTCTAGAAGTAGCTAAGAGAAGGCAGGGAGTAAAGAATGGAACAGAGACGATCAGAAATATAATGTCCAAATAATGTTCTTTCTGCGCCAACTCAGGAAACTCAAACTGCCCAACGAGCTGCTGATACAGTTCTACAGAGGATTATTGAGTCTGTCATCTGCACCTCTATAACTGTCTGGTTTGGTTCTGCAATCGAACAACTTCAGACTTCAACAAATAATTAGAACTACAGAAAAAACAATTACTACCAACCTGCCTTCCATTGAGAACCTGTATACTGCACGAGTCAAAAAGAGGGCTGTGAAAATATTTACAGACCCCTTACATCCTGGACGGAAATTGTTTCAACTCCTACCCTCAAAATGATGCTATAGAGCACTGCACACCAGAACAATTAGACACAAGGACAGTTTTTTTCCCTAACGCTATCACTTTGCTAAACAAATAATTCCCTCAACACTGTCAAACTATTCACTAAGTCTGCATTACTATTACTATTAATCTTCTCATCATTCCTATCAACCATCTTCTCCCACTTATGACTCTATGACTGTAACTTGTTGTTTGTATCCTTACGATTTATATTGTTTCCTAGTATGATTTGATTGCTTATTTGTACCCTATGGATATCATTGAGTATTGTACCTTATGAAAAGATGAATATATCTTTGGTGTGTACACTGAGAGCGTACGCACCAAAGACAAATTCCTTGGGTGTCCAATCCCATTTGGCCAATACAGAATAAAGAAAGAAGAAAAGAATCCAAATGCCCAGCAATACATAAACAAACTACAGTTCTGTTTGGAAAGGTTTGAAAGCAAAAGAAGCAAACAAAGATATATTTTGAGGGAGGGAGTGTGGTTCCTCCCTCAAAAGAGAGGAGAGAGGGAGAGAGAGAAAGAAAGAGAGCGGGAGAGAGACCTTGACATCTCGGCTCTGAATAAGGCAGATCTTTGTGTATGTATGACTTCTATCTTGTCTGCAATAAAGCAAATTTTATAGCAGTGTTGTCTCGGAGAAATTCTGCTGTAAGCAAGTCCTAAAGTACAGGGTTAAGTGTCTGGAAAGTGGAGATTTATTGCCAAACTTGGCATGAAGTCTGACACTAAAGTTCTAAGTTTGGTCTCAGCTTCATTTTCACAGTGTTTCTTTATTCTAAGAGGTTTCCCAAAGGAATGGTGGGGTTTTTTTGGGTCCGGAAGGAAGCATCTCATGTTGTCTATGGGACCTATATGTATATGTATAGGTAGAGGTGGAGAGAGAATATGAGAGAGAAAGAGAGAGGGGGGGGAAGGAGAGGGAGAGAGAGGGAGAGATTTCTGTTGTAAATTTCATTGATCGACTTTGAAGTAAATGAAAGATAGCGTAGTGACAGGGTGGAGGCAGTGAAAGAAGACACATATTCTTCTCTACCTGAAGACTTGTTACATTTTCACATTCACAGCTTTGTTTCTTGTTATGGCCTGAAGAAAAAGCAACCCATTTCAGAAAAACCTTCATTCTAAAACACTGATTTCCCAGTGTTTTGGAGTATACTTCCAGTAATCCCATGTCCTAGGCCATGTTGCTGGAATTAATAGGTACTGAAGTCCCCCCTCCCCCCCCAAAAAAACCATAGAGAATATCAAGTTGCCTGTTTCTACTTAAGAACATGCTCCAAAATTTGCACTAAGAGCTTGACAATTATACAGGGTTTGTCCGTTCTTGAACAGAATTGTTTCAGAGCATACTAGAGTTGCAGGCTAGATTGGGAAATCAATCAAAATTCCAGAAGGCAGTGACAAACCGAGAAATATCCGCGAAATCACCAAAGGTCAAATTCAAATTGTAAGTGACTTTAGTTTTGCATCCATAGAAGAAACAAGCATGTGGGGAAAAAATGTAGTTCGACCAATATCATTCATTTGAAAATCAGAACCACTGTGTTGTGGCCCGTCAGCAGCCTGTGCAGTTAGTAGCTGATTCCGACAGCGAGGAGGCTGGTGTGGTGCTGCGCCAGCAGCCTGTGCAGCTGGCGCTCGAGTCAGACAATGAGGAGGCTGGAGAAGATGTGGTGCCAGAGGCGGGGATTCAGCCAGAGCCTTCAGAACCTCCAGAAGCTCCTTTAAGTGAAGAGGAAGAGGAGGAGGAGCCTCTTCTCAATGCACGGGCGCGCAGAGCTGTTAAAAGGCAGGAGTGGCTCCTCAGGAGGAGGTCTCCTTGAGAGTAAGGCTTGGGGCTAATTGGCCACTCCCCTAGCCTATTTAAGGAAGGACAATGACTTCATTCATATTCCTTCGCATCTTGATTCCAGAAACGTTTGATTCGGCTCTTGTTTCTCTCTTGTCAGTTTTCCTGCAAATTGCTTCTGGGCATTCTGCCAACCACAGTAAGATTACGGTTATCTGAAATACTGTGCCTCAGAACTGAGTTATTATTCTTTGGATTCTTGTTGGCTGTTAATGAAGTTAAATTAACAGCCCTTG